TAAAACAGTATTGTTTAGAATGTTAAAAATGTGCATTTCATGCATTGTGAGAGAAACATGACAATTCATGTGTCTGAAAATGAAAAGGGCCTATAACATATATCACATAAGATAGGAACTCTACTCCTGAGAGTCTAGTACACAGAATGAAAGCATCAGTTCATAGAGAAATTTTTACAGTATTGCTTGTAGTGTTAAAAAAAAGAGAAAAACCAAATTCAATCCTTGGTACCAAAAGAGAGAGAGGTAAAGGGAGTGGAGTGGGGGAGAGAAACAAGAATAAATAAAATCAACCTGAATATGGCCAACACATTTTTAAAGACTTTCTTCTGGGCATGGTGGCACACACCTGTAATCCCAGCCCTTGGGAGGCTGAGGCAGGATGATTACAGTGAGTTTGGTGCTAGCCTGGGCTATATAGTGAGTTCAAGGCCAACTGCACTACATGAGACCCTTTCTCAAAAAAAGTGAAATGAATGAATGCAAGAATGAATGAATAAGAGTTTTACCTCTTTTTATGTATGTACCACTGAATCACCACCATCACCAAGGACAACAAATACATACTTGTATTTCATATGTTCATAGGGGGGACTTAAGAAGGTTCATTATTGGTTCAATCTTAACTATTAACATTACGATAGCTCAGTGGTGGTTTGTGACCATGATGCAAAATATCAGTTAGAAAATCATTCTTCAATATTCTTAAAATATTTGGCAGCACGCCAAGATAAAATTTTGCTCTGAAATCTGTTAATTTTGTTTCTTTTCTGTAGATTTATCAACTCAAATTTCTATCAGAAATTTGCTGTAACATTGTGCTGTTAAATTAATTGATATTCCTATTTCTAAATCTGACCTTCCACAATCTCATTTCCTCATTGGCCAGACTACGAGAGACTCGTGCAGTGGAACAAGGTTGCCTCTAAAATTCATTTTGAAGCCCTAACTTCCAATGTGATTGTATTCTGGGATAAGGCCCACAGTTTCCAGGGGTTTCAGTCCACGGATGGCTCCAAGGCTGGAAGGGCCTGAGGAAGAAAAGCTGCTCAACCCACGGCAGCCAGGAAGCAGGGAGAGAGGGGAGAAGAGGGACTGGGTACAAGAATGTTCCTTCCCTTCCAGGTTGTGCCCCCAGTAAACCATTTCTTCTGACCAGTACCCCTTGTAAGCAATGAGACTTTTGGGGGACACAGTAGATCTAACCCATAGTAGGGCTTTTACAGAAATAATAAAGATTAAATGAAGTCTATAGAGAAGAGACTTGATCTGACAGAATTAATATTCTTACAATAAAGAAGCCAAGGCACATGCTTCCTCTCCACTCTGTGAGGTTCTGGGGACGGCCATCTGTAAGCGAGGAAGACAGACCTCACCTGATCCAACTATGCTGTCACTCTCCTCTTGCACTTTTAGTTTCTTCAGTTAAGAGAAAAACTCTGTTGTTTAAAGTACCTAATCTATGGTGTTTTTATTATTTTATTATGGTATTTTATCCAAATTAATATACAGGAAAATAGTTTTGAAAATCTGTTACATTATGGAATGTCTGAGTAGAACCCTCCCAAGGCTGCCCACTCTGAGTAAATACCCAAGGCCTGACAATCCTAACTGCTTCTAGGTGCTTTCAGCTTGGGACTCTCTCTTTTCTAATTTCAATTTCTAGTATTTTCCCCATCCATCATTTTCTGCCTGATTGCTGAACCCACCAGCCACACTCCTGCTGTAAGGTCTCTGTGAAAAGACTCTGTCCACTCCCCATATTGGCAGGGTTAACTTCTCATTTTCTTTGTTCCAATGGTACCTTTGCAATGAGCGTTATGTTGGCCACACACATGAAACTGCAAACAACATCCTCACCTCCACTATTGACGGATCTTTACTTCCCATCCTCTATTTCTTTCCCTTGGCATTTATTCCCTTTTAACAAATCATATAATATATATGATTACGTTTTACCGTCTGTCTGTTTGTTAAGAGGATAGGCTTTGTCTTTTGGTTCCCCAAGTATCCTGAAGGACCAGCACTCAAAAAATTATTCACTAAATAAAATAATTGGCTGAGAGGCAATAAACCTAGGTTTCAGCCACAGTACTGCCTCTACCATGCTGTTTAACTTTGGCTTTTTCTTATTTCCTAATTTGTACTATAAAAGCTTTAGTTCATACTAGACAGAAAGCTCCTTTCAACAATTTTGACTTGGTCCTTTCTCATCAGTATTCTCTTTTGAGCACTGACCTTCTTTTATCTTCTTGGCCCTGCCTGCTCCGTCCTTCATTAAATATACCCTTCCCCTTCCCACAGTCACCTCCTTGGTTCATAATGTTGATAATCAGTACACATTTGATCAATTTTAATTATTGATTCATTCATAAAATAGCATAAAGGCACATTCTGACAGAATTACGTCCATTAGTGTTAAACAGTATGATGAATTCTGAATTCTAATCCTAAAATCTATATTGAAATATGTAAATTAAAAATATTGAGCTAGAATTTGTCATACATTCTCTCAATGCATTTTTTTCTATAAAAATGTCATTCAATTCAGAGACACTATCTCTTTTACTCTTTTAAATACTGATCAAGGGTTTAAAGATCTCAACTCTTCCATATCTTTTTATATTCATCTTATATTCATCTTAAAAGATATTTTAGATTCTGCTAATGCCTTCTCACATGTTATTAATACAACTGAAGTATTTTAAACATCAGTTTAATAGCCCTACATCTTTACAATTTGTATCATCCTTTCTAATTTAAAGGTATATCTTCCTTTTAGTAACAAAATGTTTGGTTTTCAGTGCCTTCAAGGATTACTTCAGTAAGTCAAAATCAACATTTGTTTCTAAATACAGTAGGAGAATGAATCAATTAATTAGATTTCCTAAAATAAGCTTAGGTTTTGAGCAATTTTGGTCATTTGGATATATTTACTAAATATAAACAACTATTGATTGGTTGATAAAATTTAAAAAATAAAGCAAACTCTTCTTCAAGTTTACAATTATTAGCAATCAATTCACACTGAAAGAATGAGCTTTAATGAAAAGCCAAATTTAAAAGCAACCCTCAATAGACTTTTGATTTTTTTTACTTCAGATACATCCAACCCTATGCATATACATATTGTCCTCTATTTAAATTATTTTATCATATTAATAAGTATAAACTTATTTTCCCAGTTTAGTAGTGATCATATACATGTGATGCTTGAGTAATTTAAAAAATAGCGTGTGTATATAAAAACATCGTCTTTTCTGATTTACAAAAGAAAATTTCTACTCCTAAAACTAAATTAGAAAAGAAAAAGCATGAAATTCACAAATGAAAATAGAAAATTTAGTAAAGCTTGATTGAAGTTTCCGTGCAGAACATTCCTAAGCACAGTAGTTACTACAAGAAGATTGTCCAATCATATAAGCAACTCAGGTGGCAGCATCCCCTTTTTAAAGGTTTCGCTGCTCCAGACGGACCTGCGGAAAACCCTGACGGACGCAGGTCCTTTCATTTAGAAACTCTTTAAACCGTGACAAAACTTTTGAGAAGCGGCTTCATTGGCTACAAAATGAATGACGCAAGGTATTCCAAGCCCTCTAATCATCCAACTCCACGCTGGTTTCGGCAGCACAGATAATAATCCAGCTCCAAGGAGGAGCCTGGCTTCAAATTCCGCTTTCCGATTGGGTCCTACGGCAAGCGCGCAGGGACAATTTCTGAAATTGACCTCTGTTTCCGGAACCGCAGGCGAAAATGGCAGCCGCCAGGGTTTGGAAGCTTGTGTGTCCCGGACGGGGACTGTCGTTGCATACTGCTGCTGAGGCCGCCTCCACGGCTACGGAGTCAACCAGCACAGATGTCGGGGCCTTCCCTGTTGCACGGTACCCGCCAATTGTGGCTTCCTTGACAGCCAAAAGCAAAGCAGCAAGGCTGCGGCGGGTGGAGCGCTGGCAGGCTACGGTGCACGCGGCCCAGTCGGTGGACGAGAAGTTGCGCATCCTCACCAAGATGCAGTTTATGAAGTACGTGGTTTACCCGCAGACTTTTGCCCTGAACGCCGACCGCTGGTACCAGGGCTTTACCAAGACGGTGTTCCTGTCGGGCCTTCCGGCTGCCCCAGCGGAGCCCGGGCCCTCGCTGGACTTAGCGGCCCTGCGCGACATCGCCTGTGACAGCCTCCTGCAGGAGAGTTTCTACCTGCGGCGCAAACGGCGCCCTCCCCTCTACGAGGAGCTGGAGACCGTCGCCTCGCCCTTCCTGGACCAGCTGGTGGCGGCCCTCATGGGCTATCTCAGCCCGCTGAACCCCGTCCTGGCTTCAGCTGCTGTCGGTGAGCTTCGGGATCCCCACTCAGTGCAGGAGATGGGATAACACTGGGCTCTTCACTGCTCAGTCCTTTTTCTCTGGCTGGGAGGGCAGGTTTCCTAGCCTCGCTGAGTTGGAACTGTGGAGACTAGGTTCTGGTGACTGTTCAAATCTAGTCTAGAGCTGAAGCTCTGCAGGACTCCTGCTTTAAGAACGTGAAGCCAAATGCAAGAGTAGTGGTTAAGAGAAGAGGCCCTTAAAAGTGTAGGGCAGAACTGTGTTTCCTTTTGGCATTTCCACCAAAAACTGTTTGGCTACATGTAATTTCACTAAACTCTTTCAATTTTTTTTCTCTCATTTTTAAGATGAGAATTATGGTAATAGTACCACGGCATAGAATTGTGAAGATTAAGTTAGGTATTAACTAAAATACCTAACGTTTATTCTTTATTATCATGTCAGGCCCTGTTCCAGATTTTCAGTGTGCCATCTAAATACTATAACTACTTACAGTAGGGAGCACAATGGAAGAGCACAAACGTTAACTACATTTAGTTTTAAGACCAGCGCTTGGTAGGTTTGGATTTGGACTTTGTGAACTACAATCCCCATATAAATGTTCAGTGAAAACATGACAAATGATTCCTAAATAAATAATTTTAAATATTAGTGTTTCACATACATTCATTTATGTTTACCACCCATTAGATGTCTTAATACTTAGTGAACTGACTAGCTTTCAGTATGTGCCTTGCCTTCCTCAGTTGGGGAGGAAGTATTGAGGGAAGGATAGTGAACGTTGACTATTTGTGATTGATGGCCTACAAAACATACTATTTGAAGACCCAGATAAAATGTAGATTATTTCAACAGCACATACCTTGTAGAGTTATTGCAAATATTGAAATAGTATTTCATAAGACCACTCTGGATTCTGTTAAACTATTTTTTATTTCTGTTGAATGGCATTCCTGTTAGTTTATTGTCTTTATGTCTATTCTTAACGAAAAACTTTGATTATATAGGTTAGTGTAATGATGGCACAAGTAGACTATAAATGTTTTGAGTGTTAAATGCGATTCAAAGTTAAACTGACATGGAATTATGACTATCTTATATGAAAGAGTAAAGATCTATTTTTAAATTAGTTACAATCGTCTTTGTCTATTGCTTTTACTGTTATAATAATTATATTTATCTAAATGATCAAATGAAGAATTTTGAATCTTTTGAAAGATTGTAAGCGCCCAGTTCATTTTTACTGGTTACGTGGTGAAGAAATTATTCCTAGTGGTCATAGAAAAGGCCGAATTGATGCTTTGCGATACCAAATAAATGATAAACCAAACAACCAGATTCGAATATCCAAGCAACTCACAGAGGTAAGGGTTTATTGCATATACACATATATAGTGACATTTGATGTAAGGAACAGTGTGGGAAATGTCTTAGACCAGGTAATTAGGCTTGTAACATAAAATATTTGGGTGGATTTCATGGGTTTCCTATTTGTTTTAAAGACATCCCATCTGAAAATATTATTCAGCTTTTTAATCTGGTATAATATATTCTGTACAGGTCAAATAACCATGTTAGTGAGATTAAGACATCAGTTTTCAAGACCGTATAGATCTTTTTGTTTCTTTTAGTTTCCTTAAGCTAGTTAGTCATAAATCAGATGGTCTTTACAGTTACAAGTGCAGTCACTTGACATATTTACAGTTCTTTTAAAGGCAAAAGAAATATACTTTGTGTATTGTCCATGTTTCTACATCAGGGGTTGGCAGTCTTTCTGTAAAGATCTAGATAGTAAATATTTTAGGCTTTACAGATCTTGTCTCTGTTGTAACTATTCAGCTACTGGCCTTAGAGAATATAAGCTGCCATACATAATATTTAAGGGAATATGTATGGCTGTGTTCCAGTAACACTCTCTTTGTAAAAACAAAGTAACTTGCTAGTGTGTACTCATCACTAAGTGGTAGTATAGGTTAAGCTTCTGTAGACCAAAACTCTGAAATTGGAAATGCTCCAAAATCCAAACTAAAGGCTAGTTCAAACTTTTGGTTTAGAAATACTTCACTTGTTAAAAACAACAACAACAACAACAAAAAAACTGTGCAGGTATTCCAAAATTAGGAAAACTAAAATCAGAAACAGTTCTGTTCCTTAGCATTTTAATTAAGGAATACTCGACCTATATTTTAAATTATTTTGTAAAAAATACCCCATTTAAAAAATAAGAATGTAAGCAAAATGGACACTAATGTTCCTATAATTCAGTATACGTTTTCTTTTCCTTTAAGTTTGCACCATTGGATTACTCTGTACCTATAGAAATCCCTGTTATGAAATGTAAACCAGACAAGCTTCCATTGTTCAAACGGCAATATGAAAACAACATATTTATTGGTAAGTTTTTTGACATATTGTACCACACATGATCAAAATGTGCAGTGCACATTTGGAGCATTAACTGTAGTGACAAATTAATTCTTGATAACAGAAATTCAGATAGTTCATTAATTTATAATCTCAAATTATTGTAACATGTGTGATAAGTTCTTTTAACTTATGACTTGAAATTATACTTACTCTTACTACATTAGTAATATTTAACTTTAGAAAAGAGTTATATTTTCTAGGCTTTTTTGATTACTATATAAAAAGAGTAATTTGTCATTTTTCAAAACTAAAAATGTTTAGAACTGGATTTGGGGCCATGATTGACATTTTTATAGAACAATCCTGTCTGGGCTACACATGGTGAAAACCATCAAGAATTCAAAAATTAATAAGACCTCATGTCTTTCTTCATGTAACTTATTCTTTGATAATTGTTATCCTCCCCCCTTTTCTTAATTTCTGCCTGATTTGAGGCAGTTTTTTTTTTTTTTTTTTTTTTGTACCAGAGATTGAAATTGGGACCTTGTGCTTGCAAGGCAGGCAGAGGAACCACTAAGCTAAATCCCAGGCCCCTTGAGGCAGATTTTTATGAAAGCTTTACCCTATTCCTCCAGACATATTTTATCATCTCCTTCTTGATCACTGTATTTTTAGGGAATGACCTATGAAAACCTTTTAAAAAGACTACCAGTAGTATTAGTGCCAGCATTTCACCAAATACTAGTCCTTTTTTGTAACTTAAAAATATAGTATAAAAATAATTTTTTAAAAAATTAGGAATATGATACATAATCATTACACTAAATAATAAAAATTTTGAAGTCCAAGTATTTATATTTTCTGGTGAATATGACAGGGAAAATATCAAAATTCTTCATTGAAGGAACACTTACATATATTCTTTTGACTTGCATCATAGGGCTTTATGATGACTAGCAGATTGAGAAAATGTGCTTTCATGTAAAGTTTTGCTTCATTATGATCAGTAAAAGAAAGAAGAACACTAGTATTCCCACTCTGTATTTTGAGTACTGGGCACATGATAGAGGAGAAAAATGTCCATAATACGAGTACTAAAGCACGTGCTTTCAGATACTCTGCATAATCATTTTATCTGAAACATTTTTATTTTGCTCTTCAGGTTCAAAAACAGCAGATCCATGCTGTTATGGTCACACTCAGTTTCATCTGTTACCTGACAAATTGAAAAGGGAAAGGCTTTTGAAGCAAAACTGTGCTGACCAGATAGAAGCAGTTTTTAGAGCTAATGCTATTACAAGCCTTTTTGCCTGGACTGGAGCACAAGCTATGTATCAAGGTAAAACTAATTGTGTAGCTTTATTGTTCTTTGATGGTATCTTTGACATTTTAAGAATTATTCAGATTATTCTCTTTGGTTTAAAAATGTAAGCTACATCTTAACATCTTGAAAAATTTTATCTTGACACAAAATAAAGTTTTAAGATCCATAATTTAATATTGTACATTGAAATTTAAAAGTGGTACTTAGGTAGTTAATTTGATCTTTTACTTTAACTATCTCCTGTGAGAATGTATTTTTCCCCCCAGTGGGATACACAAACATTTCAGGAACTATTGCTAGATCAACTCTTCATATAACAACTTTGAGTATAGAAAAGAAAATAATTTGTCAATTAAATATAAATCAAATCATGTCTATACCATATCTAGGATTTAGATTATAAGATTGTTCATTCAGTAAATATTGAATGCTATTTATATGCCAAGACAGATACTACCCTCCCAGGAGCTTTTGTTATAGGGAAAAAGTAAAAGAATTTCTTGTTTTCAGCTAATGGCAAACATAGGGAGAAAATAATGTAAGGGGTATAATGATTTATTGGGTTATGGTGGATATAAGTGAGATAAGAGGCAAAATCTATTAAAATAGAGTCATTAAGGAGGGTTCTTTAAAAAATGACTTCTGAGCAGAGACCTGAATGGTGAGGAGCTACCTATGTGCATAGTCTGGAGGAAAACAATTCAAGATAAAAGGAATGGCAATAAAAAATATTGGGAAGGGGCTTGAACTATTTAAGGAATATAAACACTGATAAAGAAAGAAGGAGAGAATGATGGAAAATTAGGTGGAGGATGCCAGAGGCTATATTGTGTAGAATTTATATTTATCTATTTTGCTGTAGTGAAGTTGAACCCAGGTCTTTTGCCTACTATGCAGACCTTCTACCACTGACCTACAGCCTTTGCCTTCAAGTAGGACTTTTAGAATCTACTGAGTTGTTTAGATTTTATTGTAAAATTTGCATATACTATGAATTAATCTTATATAATTATCAAAGAAATTTGAATACAGCTTTAATTATTAATAAGCTCACTTTTTTACATGTATATGTATTTTAATATGCTCACATTATTGACTTATATTTCTGTAATAGAAATGAAAATGAGGTGTAAGGTAAGGGCAGACAGAATCAGAAAATGTAAGAGGTAACTGTTGATGTTATATGGAGTGACACTGTTTATTCATGAATATAAAGTACTTTGTTTTTCAATGGAATTAGTTCCATATTTTAACAGTATTATTCATTGGCTGTCCATTTAAGGATGATATGAAATATGTGTGAAATAAACTTGCCATTTGGAGCCGGGCGTGGTGACGCACGCCTGTAATCCCAGCACTCAGGAGGCTGAGGCAGGAGGATTGCTATGAGTTCAAGACCAGCCTGGACTACATAGTGAGTTCCAGGTCAGTCTCAGCTACATAGTGAGACCCTGTCTCAAAAAGAAAAGAAATTGCCCTTTGGCTTTGGTGGTGGGCTTTAAAAGTATTGAAAGCCAGGCATCCTGGAAGAAAATATACTCAGAAAATTTGAGAAGTGTAAGTGTCACACACCTATAATCCCAGCACTAGAGAGGCTAAGGCAGGAGAATCATGTTGAGTTCATAGCCAGCCTGGGTTACGTAATGAGTTCAAGACCAACCTGATAGGCACTCCCTGTTTCAAAAGAAACAAACAAAAAAAGACATTGAATTTATTTAAGAATATGTCAAAATCCATGGAAAGACTTACTTTGAAGTGAGTTTTTTTTTCCTTGTGAATTTGGTGGAATAAATGGCCATAATAGTTATTGGGTTGTAGCTTCTAGTATGGGGAAATTTGAACATACCTGAAGTCCATGCGTTGTAGTGAAGTTAGTACTAGATGTAAAAGGATTCTTCCTAAGCAGAATTTACTGTGCTGCTTAGGTGAAGTAAGTTAAGGTTAAAACTGTTGAAGGCTAAAGTTGTTGAAAAATATGCATTGTGAATTTAGGGATACTCTAAAGTAGGTTGTAATTACTATTGTAGAAATGCAGTGCAGGGTTAGGATGGAGAAGATAGGGAAACTGAGATCTTCAGGAGTTTGGTACTTGCTACCTTCTAATGTTTTGTTTTGGTAAAATACATTCTGTGTGTAAATTTCAGCATAACTTTCTTCTACAGGATTCTGGAGTGAAGCAGATGTTACTCGACCCTTTGTTTCCCAAGGTGTGATCACAGATGGAAAATATTTTTCCTTTTTCTGCTATCAGTTAAATACTTTGGCACTGACTGTACAAGCTGATCAGAATAACCCTCGCAAAAATATATGTTGGGGAACGCAAAGTAAACCTCTTTATGAGACAATTGAGGATAATAATGTGAAAGGTTTTAATGATGATGTTCTGCTTCAGATAGTTCACTTTCTACTGAATAAACCAAAGGAAGACAAAACACAGCCGTTGGAAAACTAACTGGAAACATTTGATTCGGGACTTTGAGAATACTTAAATTTCACAAAAGGAACAATAAAAAGAACTTTAAAAATGCTGTGTGTAACTGTGAGATATTGGATGCATTGATCTTTGAGAAGTGTTTCTTAGGTTAACCTGTCATGCTCAACTGTGGCAGCCCAAAGGATGAGAGATTACTCAGAGTCCATGTGCAGTTTTACCTCTGAGCCCAGACTGCCTTTTAGCTGTAACCCCTCACCTGAGAGAGTCTCAGGAAAAAAACAGTCCTGATGTGAAGTTTCTGGCAGCTTTTTATTGATAGAACCAAGAAGCAAAGATAAAGCCCAAAAGAAAGACATCTGTACAAGAACTTAGGGAACAGGGAAAGGGCAGGATGATCTGCAGTGACTCATTTCCGTTTAAACAAGCCGTGAGGGAGAGAACAGTGTCTGGAGCAATCGCAATGGTATCTTGGTTCACAAACTTGGTTCTGGAAACTGAGTTGGAAGAGAACCAGATTAAATTTAACAATTAGGTTCATTGTTGACCTTATGGACAAATGTGATTCAGTTCTTATCCAGTTTGGTTTGTGATCAGAACTGTGGAGAGAATTGAGTTCAACTATTGCCCTTTCAGGTCTGCTCTGATCTTTAGCCATGCATTCCAGGAAGCCTGAGCCATCGCCACAGGGGATCCCTTCATTTCAACAATCATTTCAGTCACTCCTCCGGCCAGGGTCTCCCTCCACACATTAGTCCATGATTAGGCATCTTGTTCTGCTCAATCACTGAATGATTTAATTAAAGCATATTGATTAAAAAAATTTTTTTTGCAAATTTCTAACTAGGAAGACTGATTGTGCCTTCTTATTGTGTGTGATTTTAAACACATAGGCAGTAATTCAAGTATTTGATAATATGTATATATTTTGGTTTTTTATTTTTTTTTGTTGTTAATGAATGGTAAATGTCTTGACCCCCATTCAAACCCCTTCAAAGCATGAACAATATTTTGCATATACAGTAAAACAAGGGGTTTGATAAATTTCTCAATTTTGATTTATAAAGAAAAATAGAGATTCTATTCATAAGGTAATTTAAAGAGAATTACATTAGTCATAACCCTATCATGTTTAATGGTAAAGCACAGGTGATATTCTCACTGAAAATAAATAAGACAGCACTGACCTTTATGTGTTTTGCTAATCCATTGCAAGTGCCTAGAATCATAGAAGTAAGCACATGATGTATGTTTGTTGAATGGATGTGAGTTAACTAAAATAATCTTTCTAGTTTGAGTTCTTTATTCATATTTTTATCTCATTAAAGTTCAGAATTTATGTATCTCCACATATTCATAAATTTCTTTCCAGTAATAGTCCTAAGTAGCTCTTAAAAGTAGATAATGTGTGTTGCTTTGTAAAAGGTCAATTCAGCTCATTAAGTTGAACAGTTTTTCAGCAAGTTCTCATGAGGTATTTATGTACATTCTGATATGAAATTCTTTTACATTGTTTATCAGCATAGATAGCGATTAACTTCCATGTAGTACAATCTATTGGACAGTTTCCATCTTTACTCAGTACATCTTCAACCGTTTATATGGTTGACTACTCCATTCTTGAAGCATTGAAATCTTGCATTGCCTTCAGTGAAATACTCTGGATTTTCTTCCTATCTCATTTGATTGGTTTTTCATATTTTCCTTTGCTATTCTTCTGCTAACCTTTCTTCAAATACTAGTGTACCCTTGGCTTCTAGTCTAGGTTCCATTTTTCTTCATTTACACTCTCCTGGATGACATGGTCAAATCTCAAGTATGTATTTAAATGTAAAAGCACATTCAGTATTAAAGTTGGATTTCATGTTTTTGCTTCATATCTGAACTATAATTAACTTTAACTAAACAAGTCTAAATGATTAAAATTATGGGCAGTTTCCGCTTAGTTTTTCAAATTTCATAGAAAATACTATTTTATAATTTTAAAAATCTTTTTTGAATAAACTAATACGGAGCCATCAACTTATGTCGTTTGACTCCATCAAATAACTATGAAATTGTATTTTATTTGAGAAAACATAATACTTGTTCAAGAAATTTCACAAATTTTATTAAATAGGGTGTGACCAGAATATATAGTGAATTTTTAAATTGTAAATATTATTATAGTAAAAGACATTTCAAGTAATCTCTCAAATATTCGCCCTTCCTTCACAACTATAGCATCCATTGCTCTTGCTGTTTACTGAAGCAATTGTGGAAGTCCTCTTTATTCACTGTCCTTATGAAATGTGATAAAAAACAGTGAATGCTGCTATCTAGAGTTACCTGACAGGAAGACCGGTTTTTAAAAACTTCTCATCTATCTTATTCACTGTAACTGGCACCATGTAACTTCTGGTGCTTCCGGAAGTCAAAATGACAATGAAAAACACATTTTAAACGGATTCAGAACATTAACATTTGAGGCAGCCATGGCAGTGCAATTAAAGACTTATGAAAGAAGACTTACAGAACTGCTTTAGGAAGTGGCAACAAAGATGGGATAAATATGTTCAAAGCGAGGGGATGTCTTTGAGGGGGGCAAATGACAATGTGTTTTACTGTAAAAAATTTTTTAAAATGAAACTGACTATTTTTGGATTAAACCACATATATTTTGACATCTTTAGTAGTTGGTTCCTGGAAACTGAGAACATACTAGAGATGAAGTACTGAGATTTTTCATGAGATCTTTTACTGGGTTAGTACTATGTCTGAATACTTAACCCTCCCGCCCGCAAATTCATGGTATTTTAACCTCTTGAAAAACATGATAATTTCAGTTTATATCATTGCATATCAGCTGCTTTGGATCCCTTTAACTGGGATCACAGGTTTGTCACAATTCTCACCACACCTCATTTTTCTACTTTGCCAACATTATTGGGCCTACTTCCTTAATTTCTGTGGAATGTTTTATTTATGACACCTGAGGCCCATATAAATCTTAAGAACTTGTATCATTGATAGCCAAACTCAACCTTGACAACTACGTTTAGGCTTTAGAGCAGTCATGGCAAACGTTTTAGAGCTTCCAGTGATACAAATAGCCTGCTGCACACGTGACTTAGGTTCACCACTACTTATTTAGAGTCTCTACTTTCTGGCAATAGGCATACTAATCAGAAATGCAGGTGAATTTGTTCACTTTAGATTTTTAAGTGAAATGAAAGCTCTAGCCTTTGGGGTAAAGAATGGTTTATAAAGTTATCTGGCAAAAATATATGAATTTCTTTTCCTCTGATAAAAGCGAATCAAGATTTGCTTTTTGAGGCAGTATCATGAAATTGAGTAAAACTTTGTCCATTTTTTTTAGTAGAACCTAGTTGGTGACCAGAGGGTCTTTGGACACTGTACTAAGTATTTAGTTTCCCTTAGTAGCTTAAATTAGGTCAACTACAGCACTGCCCTCTCCACTTGTGGAAGAAGGGTTAGAATGCTTATATAGGGTTGAACCCTTATACTAGAAGACCTGTCAAATGGTGGTCCATACATAAATCAGCTAGAAAGAAAGAAAACTTTCCACTCCTGTTTTCAAAAACAAGTGATTATTATTTATACAGTCTTCTTGTTAAAACACTGGACTACATATAATATTGACGGCATTTGAAAGCTAAACTGGTTAGAAATAATTGCCAGGCTGATTTGTGGATGAAGTGAAAAATCCAATGAACATAATACTAGGTCTGCTTTTTCTCTGAAGGAGGGATAAACAGTATTTAAGTAGCCTTGGGAGGCTAGAAGGAAAGGTTAAAGTATAGATTTTCCAAGGTCATGGTTCTGGTAAGATTTTTCAGTTTGAGATCATGAAGGACAGCATTCTAAGCCTAAGGGTGAAACAAATAAACCATTCACATAGAATGTAACATTAAATTAAATTTTCTATATAGGTCATAAAATTCTGAAAATCTGAAAGTACTCTACGGTCATCTTATAATTTTAGTAACATTTAGGAATGTAAAAGAGGGAAACCTTGAGGAATTAAAAATAATTTCTTAGGCCTTAAACCATTTCAACAAAATTCAAGTACAGTATCTCCATATAATATTCAGGTTCAGGAAGAGAAAAGGGAGTGAAAGCCAGGAGAAATAACATTAAGAGGCCACCAAGTATTGGGACTGTACAATAGACTTTAAATATGTTTACCATGTTCAAGGAAATAAAATATTAATTTTTTCACATACAATCGAAACTCTTAAAATGTCACTGCAGTTTTGCAAATGAGCCAAATATAAACTTGAGAACTAAAACCAAAAAAAAGCAAACAAACAAGAATTGCAAATATTTATTGCTGCAGTGTTACCTTGGTTCATGAACTGAATTTGTTCCGCGATTCGGGTAACATGACCACATTACTGCTCATGTGGGGAAGATGAATGAGGTCCTGCCTGTCAACTGATGTGAAGTTTGTGAGTGAAAGAAGATTTTGCCAAAGGCTTCTATTAGCAAACTTAATTGTTCACCAAAGGAAACATTGTGAATTGAGGTGTTACTATATTACCACAAAATTAGTGATTTAATGTACATTTGTTATACATTTATTGTACATTTATTATCTGAGATTCTGTTAGTACAAAAATCCAGCTTAGTTTAGATAGCTTTTGTTTTAAGCTGCAAAGTATTGGTCAGGGCGAATTTTATTCTGAGAGCTCAGCTGGGAAAATGTCTACATCAAATTAATGTATTTGTTAGCAGTCAAGGAATATAGGTGGGCTTCTTTAAGGCAGTTTACAACATGGCAGCTTGCTAGAGAACGCCTAGAGAGATAGTCTGCTAACAAGGCTATTGGTCAAGAGCCAAGTCACTATTTCTAGTTCACAGCTAAAGACAAGGAATTATATAATAGCATGGCTAGGAAGAGATGTAGAGTAATTGTTTTTGTGTGTGTATGTATGTGTGTTTGTGTGTGTGTGTGTGTGTGTGTGTGTGTGTGTGTGTGTTCATGGGCATAGGGTGTCATAGTCTTCTCATCAATACTTTATAAGCACAGTTGAAAACAATTCATGAACTGATAGGCTATAATAAAATATCCAGTATATATTGTTTTCATAAACTATACTATTGTTACTGGATTTTGGGGTGCTTGAGTCTCCTTCAAGAGGTGGTGTTTAGGTACTTTCTGTCCTGAATAAAGAATTGGTCAAGAAAAGCACAAAAGGTAGTGAGGTTTTATGTTTATGGAAGGTGTAAAAAGAAAAGGAACATGCTGTTCAGAGCAAGTTTGGGTCAGCTAAGGTAAGGAAAGAGATGCACCATTCAAACAACAGGGTGGGCCAGTGAAAGTGTTAACAATGGCCCCCAGCTTGATGGTGGCCATTTCTGGTATCTCCCATTTCTCAGGCTAACTTCAGGTCTAGGCTATCCTATCAAAAACCTACTCATTTCTCATAAGAATTGAAGATAGCACTTTCCATTTTATTCCTAGATCTGGGCTTTGGAAAATGTTCTTTACATGTGTCCCAGAACACTGTGCTCATTCTCCCAGCCAGTTTGCCTTTCCCTAATCACCTGCCTCATTTCCTTCTGAGAGACATTCTTTACAGGGTGATGAGGTAGTGGAGGTTTCCATTTTCACATAGCTGCTTTATGCTGAACAGGGCTGTAGGCCCTACTTACTGATGATTATGTGCTCTTCAACTACCTTGGGATGTTCTGGCTCACTGACTGTACTGAAAAGAAAAAAACCTAACAGAAGACAATGAGAAAAGAGTTAACATCTATTTGTGAAGGACTGCTGTTTGATGGAACAAAGTTTGGTGAACCTCTCAGCAGGGTTACTTTGCTATTAGGTTGAGAATGCAGAGTCCAAACATGAGAAGGAGCAGATCAGATTCCCATGTTTCCTATGAAGGAGACAGTATGGCAAAGAGGGATGTTAGATAAATTATCAAAAACCCAAGAGCCATAGCCTTAGCAAGATTACCCATATTATGAATCTAATAAAAAACAGGGGTCTCAGTACCCCACTTCAGCTGTGGTAAATTTAGTGGCTGTACTTATTTGCACACAGAGCAGTACTGGAACCTTGATTTGTGAAGAAGAGTTTCAACTCTTCCAGAAGTTCACAGGAATAGCTTTCTTCTTTTGAGTGATCTCTTTCTTCAGTTGACTCAAGTGTGTGCTGGCTTTGTCTTGTGAT